AACTAGAACCTGCCTGGGATGAGGAGGGGATGGCCTCTTTTCTGCATTGGGGGGGGGGGGGGGGTAGAGTTCTCCTTGCTCACACTACAGCCACCATCCATCCATGTAACAAATATTGATCGAGGACCTACCATGATGGTGAGCACTGTGCAAGGCCTGGATACACTGGTAAACCAGATCCTGCCTTCATGGAGCTTACTGAGCATGGCAGGAGGGGAGGACATTTGAGAGTCACAACATATCCGATTAAGTTACAATTTAGACAAATTCTACTAAGGAGAGGGATGAGGACACCTGCTGTATCTGTTAGCTATTGCTGCATAACAAGCAGTCCCAAACTTGGATATAGTTTAAAACAACAGCCATGTATTATTGCTCATGAGGCAAGGGTTTGGCAAGGCATATTCCTGAATGTGGCCTGAACTGGAAGGGCTGGGCCAATGAGGCCTCTCTCCACGTGCTCTCATCTTCCTTCAGAGGTTTGTTCTCGAGGCAGAGAAAGGGAGAAAGTGGGGGGCAGGGTGTTCTTTTGAGACTTAGGCTTAGATTTTGCATGTCATCATTTCCACCGCATACTGTTGATCAAAGCAAGTCCCAGGGCCAAGCAGGGGAAAGAGACTCCACCCTTAGGACTGCAATGGCAAATGGCAAGAGGCAAGGATAAGGGAGGCTCGCCACCCTGGTCACCAATGCCATCTGTCTGTCCGCCTTCCCTGTCCAGGAGGTCACTAAGCTAAGAACTGGCTGCCGCTTTGTAACTTGAAGGCTGTGCCCAAGGAAGAAAATGCCATCTTCTCAGGAAAGGAGAACGCTGTCAGCAAACGTGCTGAATCCAAAAGGGAACGTGGCTCAAGTCACCTGTGAGTGTCACCTCCGAGGGACCTTGCTAGGATTCTGGGGCAGAAAAGAGAAAAGCTGGTGGCATCCTGGGAAAATCTGGAGCTGAGTGAGCAGGGACATGCCAACGTGGGTCTCCTGCTCTGACGACGGCATCGTGGTCGCATGAGGTGCCAACGGCAGAGAAATGGACAAGGGGGTGGGGAGCTCTTTAGTTTCTGTGCAGCTTTTCTGTAAACCTAAAATAATTCCGAATAAAAAGTGTACGTGTTAGAAAAGGAACGTGGCACCCAGGGGTGATGGGAGGCACACCCCTGCAGCCGACAAAGGAGAGGGAGGGGGAGGTGTGGCTGGAGACCACGTGTGCAGCCCGTCTTGGCCAAGGTCAGGATTCTGGTCTTTATCCTGGAGCAGAGAGAAGCCTTTGATGGGGATCCGGTAGGCCAGCGCCATGAATGCCATTTGCATTTGAGAACGGATTGGGAGGAGGGTGGGCAGGGGCAGAAAGCCAGTATCTGCCCACCCCCCTGTCCCGGGGAGCAGTGGCATGCAGGGCAGGTGGGGGAGGTGGATAGCTCAGGATCTGTTTAGGAGGCGGAACTTTAGAGTGTGGTCCAGGACTGTACCCGGGGAGAGAGAAATGAAGGATGGAGCCCAAGGTGGGACTCGGACCCTGCATGGGGCTAGGGAATCGAAAGAGCAACCATCGGAGGCGGGAGAGCATCTGTGTGAGATGCTGCCTTCCTCAGACAGCACTCCCCCCCCCCCCCCCGGGTCCCCTGAGCTGTCTTCTCTACCATCTGCGTCGTGTCACCCATACGTGTCACTCAAACATATTGCTTATGTTACTGTCGCCGGAGCGTGTCATCGGTGTAGCGATTGCCTAAACATGTCACCTGTGTCGCTAGCACATAAACACATCTGCGTAGATCACCTATGTGACGGCTACCCTAACAGCCCCACCGGCGTGCCAGCCATGTCATTACCATCTAATTACATCACCTGGGTGGTGGCTTCCAGCCACGCGGGTCCCCCGAGCCGGGTTCTTTGCAGGCACTGGAGCATGTCACCTGCATACCTGTCCCCCACACAGGCACTTGGGCAGGCAGCCTCGATCCCTGACACCTATGAGTGTCACCTAAACATGTTATCTGAGGTGACTGCCACTGTCCACAGTGCCCCGTGGGAAGGCCTTTTTCTCCAGTCTAGCTGAGTTGCAAACAAAGAAAACATTTCCAGGAGGGGAAAGAGCTCCCTGCTGTTTCTGAGATCCCCGAAGGAGGGAGGAAGAGGGAGCAGCATCCCCCCACAAAGTTTCCCTGATGAAAAGCTCCCTGTGCTTTAAGTCTGTCATGACAGTCGGTGGACCAGATGTCAACCTCTGTATATTCTATGTAAATGAAGGTGTTTGTTTATGCTAATGTGGGCTGGGTGGTGGGAGGACGGGAGCTACAGAGGGGCTGGATCTGCTGAGAGAGACAGCAGCCATGAAAATCCAGGCTGGGGCCCAGGTGTGGGGTGGCGAGGGGGAATGGAGGGGGGGCAGTGAATCACAGGAAATGGAGCTGGAAGACAAAAAAGGGGGGGGGGGTACAGCAGAAACAGAGGAGGAAGGCGTAAATCTGAGGTTAGATTGCTCAGCAGAAGCAGATGGGCGAGAGAGAGGCTTAGCGGAAACCGTGGAAAATATGTCTGTGATGGGTGGGAGCTAAGAACTGGACCAGGGGGCCTCCCCTCTCGGGGTGGCAGGGCTGGGATGGACACCCCAAGCCTGTGCTCTTAGCCATTGCCCGCCCCCGCCCTCCTCAGAGGGTGTCTCCCACAGGGCTATGGGGCCAGTTTGGTGGGAAGGGCCCGCTCTCCGCTGGGCATTTACTATGCGTTTGCACATATGAGCTTCTTACCCCACTTTCCTGCTGCAACAGAGAACCTCTGTTGGTGTCCCTTGTTAGAACACCATAATGGTTGGGGTTCTTTCCCCAGCCTTACAAAGGGTCCAGCATTCTGGAGAAAGGGGCTTCGCATAGATGATTAAGGAGTTCAAGGACGAAAGATATTTTTGAAAGGCATTGGGGGATCAGAGGAGCTTCAGCTAAAGGGAACTGAAGACTCTCCCTTGACCAAGAACCTGTGCTTTTATTCTCAGGATTTATCCTAAGGCAAGGTGGAAATATACACATCAAAGGGTAAGGTATCAAAGGGTACAGAGCTTTGTCAGATTGGGGAATAGCCTGCAGCTGTTCAGGTGTTTGGCCAACAGGAGGCAATAAAATGCCCTGAGCTGTCTGGCAGCAAGCTATTTTCCTATTCAGGTTTGGGGGAAGTGCTATTTAGCCGTTTCCAACAGGTAAACGACATATGTGGCTCACCCTTGTTGAGCCTTCCAAGTCCCATCAATCTTGTGATGGAACTCTTGTAATTACTACATGCTGGAATTTGTTCTCGGCAAACCTCTAAGAGCCAATCACGTGTCTCCACTGCGAAGCTGTGGCCAGAATAGTCTCCCTGTTGGCTGTGTGACTGGACCCAGATAAGGCTGGAATTGGCTGGAGGACACACAGAGATCCTGATGCAGCTAGTACATGGCCTCTGACTGCAGGTCAGGCCCTCAGGATGCAGGGATGGAAGGGGACAGGGCCTCTCCACGCAATGCCACTTTCGTGCCCACAGAGGTCTGGCTGGGACCACATCTAGGTTAATCCTCACTGAGGTCGTGGGAAGAAACAGCCCCATACTTTAGATAAGAGAACAGAGGCTCAGAGGCTTAGCAGGAGACTGCAGGGACTCACACAAGGTCACAAGGGCAGGAATTGAACTTGGCTCTCTGGACCCTGTCAGGAATCTTCCATGCAAGAGCGGAGAAAGAGCCACCCTGTCAGCGTTTTCCACAGGGAGAGAAAACCACGCAGCAACCCATTCTTAGCATGGTCTGACCTGCACACCCTGAGGAAGGATCTAGAACAAGGATCATCAAACTACAGCCCACGGGCCAAATCCAGCTGTTGTTTTTTTTTTTTTAACAGCTTATGAACTAGAACGTATTTTACTTTCTTCTTTTTTTCAATGATGGAAAATAGTAAAAACGGAAGATTTCAGGGCACAAGGAAGTATTTGAAATTCAAATGGCAGTGGGAATAAATAAAGTTTTATTGGAACACAGCCGCACTGATTTGCACAGGCCTTGTCTGTAGCTGCTTTTACTCTAAGCGACCCACAAGTTGAGAACCGCTAGCAGGGTGGCCTTAGACCATCAGAAAACGCAGATATTTACGTTACGATTCATAACAGCAGCAAAATTACAGTTAGGAAGTAGCAACAAAAATAATGTTATGGTTGGGGGTCACCACAACACGAGGAGCTGTATGAAAGGGTCGCAGCATTGGGAAGGCTGAGAACCATTGCCGCAGACAGAGACTGTAAAAGCAGCAAAGCCTAAACTATTTACTCTCTGGACTGGGAGAGGAGTAAGGGTTGAATGGGTCTCTCCTATCCCCAGGGGCCACCTTCTCCGAGAGGCCCTCCTGACCACCTGGGGCAGAGGCCGCTGCTCCCTCTGTGCTCAATCGGCCCACCCTTTCCCGTGTGATTGGGGGCGATGGTCAGCTGCCCTGCCTCCTCGTCCACGGAGGCAGGGCTCCTTGAAGAAAGGAATTTTACTGCGTTTCTTCTCAGATCCCCAGACCTGGGGATAAAGCGGCAGTCAGGCAGCGTTCAAATTCCCCTCTTAGCTTGTATTCGCTTCTCTGTCCCCTTTAGAGCCTCAGTTTCCACGTTTACGAAATGGGAATGCCGATTCGTACGTGCAGGGCGGCCTCGGAGGGGATGTGCTAGGCCGCCGTTTTGAGCCTGTACCACACACCAGGTGTCTCCGGGCCCATGGCATCCCCAGGCCCCCTCGGGGTGGCACCACGGCCGCCCAGTTCATGAAGCCGAACGGAGCACAGATTTAATTCAGCTGCACACAGCCTCCCCTCCGCCCTCTGAGGCTCTGAGCACGGGCCGCATACAGTCGGCGATCCATAAACGTGGCTCCTCCTCTCAGCCCCGCAGGCACGCGCTGGATCCAGGAGCGTTTGCTCAGCGAAGGCTGAACCGTGGGGTTTGGGGGTGGCGCTTCTCAGCCCCGGATCACCGGCCCTCACCCTGCTGCTCTCCTCCCCCAGGCTCCCCGAGGTCCGAGTCTCAGACAATGGTCCCTACGAGTGCCACGTGGGCATCTACGACCGCGCCACGAGGGAGAAGGTGGTCCTGGCATCAGGCAACATCTTCCTCAACGTCATGGGTGAGTGCAGGGCCTCGGCCCTGGCATCCCAGTGAGGAGATGTGTGTGTGTGTGTGTGTGTGTGTGTGTGTGTGTGTGTGTGTGTGTACGCACATACATGTGTACATGTACGTGCGTGTGTGTGCATGTGAGTGCCTGGGTGCTCCTGCTCCCGTGCATGTGCGCCGAGGGGCTGTCCCGGGCACCACCTGCTGAAATGCCTGTTGTGCTGGCAGCGGGCCCTCTTCTTTCCCACCCTCCACCTTGAGGTGTGACCGGTGTGTCCTTGCCACGGAGGACTTCCTCTCTGGACCCCCTTCTTCTACCAGCACGGGTCCTCATGGGCTGGCATCTTGGAGGGGCTCTGACATGCTGATGGGCACAGATGAGGAAGTGAGGGAGCAGGCAGCCTCCCGCAGGGCAGTGGGCTGTCGCAGACTCCGGGTCTCAGTTGTCCCTCCTGTTAGATGAGGCGGGATGCAGGACGAATGGATCCTCATGGACCACGCAGACTCAGGCCGGTGAGGAGTCAGGAAGGGAGGGAGTGGGGACAGGGCACTGTGGGGGCAGCTGTGAGGGCACCGTTCCCAAGCTGAAGCCAAGAACCATGCTCATGGAAATGCCCGTGCGGAAGCGCAGGGGATGGCGCTCCTCAGGGAGGACAACCAGGAGCCTCCAGGGGGTCTGAGACGTCGGCCCAGCGGGACGCACACTTGCTGCAGGAAGAATGATTCTGACACGGCCGCTTGCCCCTCCCCGGACCTCCTGATCCTTTGAGCATTGAGGGACGATGTAGAAAGCACACTGAACTGGGTGTCGGGGCTCCTGGTTCTGGGGCTGACTCTGTGCCTCCATTTCTAATTTGCAAAGTGGGGATGCTGATGCTCAGGCCTGTCTTTGGCTGCCTGTGTCCACCCCCACCCCGGTTTCCCCATTTGTAAAGACAAGGGCCTTGCTCCCAGTGGTGACCGGAGCCCCGTGAGCACAGATGTCCGTGCCAGAAACGTGCTCTGATCCTGCCTCCAGAACCCTAGGACCGAACGTGGTCACAGCTCTGGGCTCCAGTGCTCCCCATTTTCTTATCAGATGGCATTTATTAGGGAAACAAAGCTTGCGGGATGCGGCGATCAATGGAAGCATAAAGGCGCCGTGGGGAGCCGTAGCTTCTGGGGAAATTGAAAACCTCCAAAGGCCAGACCTCCAGGAGGACATTGATTCCCACAGAGGCTGCACGCGGAGCACTCCGGCCTCCAGCAAGGCAGTCCGGGCCATGGGCCACCGGCTGGGAAAGGGAGGGCGGGCTGGGAGGGGGCGGGGGGGGGGAGGGGTGCAGCATGAGGAGGTTTCTGTACGGTACCAGCGGCCACATCAGCTGCCAGGCAGGCACTGTACTGTGTCCACTGCATAGACCTGGGCTCAGAGAACCGAGGGGCGTGGCCAAGGCGGGGGGGAGGGGGGATGAGAGGGAGCTAACTGAGATAATCCACAGAACAGGATGCTCTGAGCTCAGGCCAATTTCCAGCGCCCAGTAAACAGTGTCTCTTACAGTCTCTGCCAATCCTAACCACGTCAGCAAAAAGCAGGCACCATTAGGAGAAAAGTTGTGCCTCCCTTGGCTCCTTTAAATATATGTCCAGGCAGGTTTCCGACGTTAAAATCTCCTCGTTGTTTTGGCCTGTCTGTGGCTTTGCGTCACACACACGTGCACGGGCAAACACATACACACACACACACACACACACACACACTCACACACACACAGACCCTGCCTCCCGGCCAGCGGGGTCTCCTTTGTGCCCCAGGAGATCCTCAGGACCATGGCAGCCAACCCCTGTCTGATTTGGGGGTCGAAGGGAAGCTCCCTGGGACAGTGGGGAGCCAGGGAGCCAAGCACACAGCCCAGGGCCCCGCGAGCATCATCAGCTCGGAGCAGATCTGCCGCAGAGCCCGGCTCCCGTCTGCCCTCGCCCGTGTGCAGCCAGCGCAGACTAACGCGCCGTTTCCAGAGGCCTCTGGGTAGAGATCAAAATTCGAGAGCGGCTGTAATTTCACGCCTGTAACAGCCCCGCTATGTGGTGGGGAAAGACATTTGGGAGCCCCGTGGGGGACGCCGAGGGTTCGTGCCGCACGCCGTCATTAAAATGTTTTTATCCGAGCAGCAGATAAATCGTAAGCCAATTTCAGAGCTGCACGCTGGGCCTCTGGACCGCATTACACACGGTCACCGGAGCGTGGCCAGGGCTCTTCTCGGGGTGCAGGGTATGCAGGGGAGCATGCTCATTGCGATGTTACAATCAGTGAAATGTGGCGAGGCCCAGACACCCCCACCCTGTGCCACCAGGAGACTGACGCCCGGGGCTTCTCGGTCACTCGGCAGGTGGAACTGTCACCACCGAGGGGGCTCTTCCCGCCCACATCTCTCAACAAAGGCCACGTTCCGCCAAACATGGTCTGTGCACCCAGCCCTGGGTGCTCAGTGCCAACCCACAGTTAACCTTGCGACCTCCACGAAAGCCCTCCAAGGCAGGCACGGTCACCCCGTTTTACAGATGACGGAGCAGAGGCTCTGAAGGTTCCAGGGGCTCACCCACGTGAGGGCCAGTCCCCCCAGGTCTGCCGAGATCAGAGCAACTCCGAACCCCCCAGGGAACCATCCCTACCTCTGGACTGGGGGGAGGTGGGGTACAGAGGGGAGAGAGAGGGGACCTCACCCTGGTAAGACCGAGGCCTCTCTAGGCGCATTTGGTTTTCCAAAGCTCAGACCGTCGGGTGGGGCTCCTTTTCCATCGGGGCCTGTAAGAGTCTGAGAGGCACACAGCTGTGCCCCAGTCCCCATGGGGGTGCCCCTTTTCCCATCTGCTGCCACCCCAGGGCTCCTCTCTACTCCTATCCTCTGACAAAAGGACCAGCCTTGGAGGCCAGCAGCCCTGAGTCCACATCCAGGCAGGTTTCCACTTGCGACAAGGACGGGCTGGCATTGAACTTCCTTTCCAGGAAGGACGGTATCAGCACGTCTTTCCTGTGAAAACATGTTAGAACAGGCCCCTCTGAACATGGCTACATCGGCATAGACGCTGGTTCCTGGTCAGCTCCCGCCGACAGGCACTGGGGTTAGGGCTTTTACAGCTCTTTTCTGGGGGAAACCATTCAGCCAACACCGAGAGCTGGGCCAGGAGGGGGCCGAGCAGGAAGCGCCGCTGTCTGGCCCTGAATCCCACACTCTCTGCTCCCAGCCACAGCGGCCCCCTCCACTGAGCATTTACTAACCCGCCAGGCACTGTGCTGAGCTCCTCGTAAGTTAACACAATGAGCCAGCACAGCAGCTCCATGAGGCGGGCACACCACTCCCTCTTTGCCAGATAAGAAAGCCCAGAGATTCTGCCTCCTGCCTAGGCGCCCCGGAGGTGCTGGTGGCGGAGCGGGGGTAGTGTCTCAACCACAGGTCATCTCTGTTTCCACTCTGGGACTATTGTGAATAGCTGTGCTCTGAGCCTTCATGTTCAAGATTTTGCGTCAACATATATTTTTAATTTCCTTGCAAAGCGGTATTTCAATTTGCATTTCCCCCGATGGCTAATGATGTGGAGCAGCTTTTCATGTGCTTCTTGGCCATTTGGATATCTGCTTTGGAGAAATATCTCGGGACCCTTTGCTTATTTTTGGTGCAGTTATTTGTCTCTTTATCATTAAGCTGCAAGATTTTTTTATCCCAGATATAAGCGCTTTGTCAGATATATAATTTGCATATATTTCACCCCATCTTGAGTTAGCATCTCCCTTTCTTGATGGTGTCCTTTAAAGGGAAATCGGTTTTGCCGAAACCGGTTTGGCTCAGTGGATAGAGCGTCGGTCTGCAGACTGGAGGGTCCCAGGTTCAATTCCGGTCAAGGGCATGTACATTGGTTGCGGGCACATACCCATTAAGGGGGTGTGCAGGAGGCAGCTGGTCAATGTTTCTCTCTCATCGATGTTCCTAGCTCTCTGTCCCTCTTTCTCTCCCTTCTGCTCTGTAAAAAAATAAAATAAAATGTATTAAAAAATAAATAAATAAATAAATAAATAAATAAATAAATAAATAAATAGAAAGCAGTTTTCAGTTTGATGAAGTCAGTTTACATATTTCTTCTTTGGTTGCTTGTGTGTTGGACGGTCTAAGGAGGCACCGGCGGTTTTTGTAGTCTGCATGCTCATATTTATGCGGGTGGCCTATCTTGAGATGGTTTCTGTGCGCGGCGGAGAGAGGAGCCGGTGTGGTCTGCAGGTGGGTATCCGATTGTCTCAGCACCAGTTCGGGAACAGGCTCTTGGTTCCCTGATGAAATAAATGTCTTGGCATCCTTGCCGAGATGCAATGGACTGTGAATGTGAGTGCTTATTTCCGGACTCTCTGTTCTGTTCCCTTGATCGGTATGTTCATCTTTATGCACTTCTGCTGCTTTCTAAAGCCACCTGGCGTCCTTCAGTATGGCCCGGACGCTCCCCTCCTGGGCTCCTGTGGCCCAGGAGTCCCCCTGCAGCGGTCCCTTCAGCTCCCCCACTGCAAGAAGCTCACCCCGGGGCTGGTGAGCACTCCCAGAGGGAGACTACAGGCTGCCGGGGGTGGGGGGAGGGGGGGGAAGGGGGAGAAGAGCGGGGGCGAGGGGGGGCAGGTTGAGTCCACTTTCATGAGGCCAAGCCAAAACCTAGGATTTCCAGAGACCTGGAGCCCTGCTTTCTAGGACCAGATTCTTGACTTCAAGCCTCTGGACTCCCAGCCCAGTGCTCCTCTCTAGAAAAAAGGGGCACGTTCCCAGAACCCATGAAGGGAGGGCTGAGGATATCTCTTGACTGGGGAAGCAGAGATGTCTATGGCTCCTAGTGGGATGAGGAGCTCTGCGGGCTGAGGGTAGACCCTGTGCCTTCCAAGGCCTGGTGGTGCTCCCATAGGCCTGAGCGAAGCGCAAGAGGGACAACTCTGAGTCTCTGAAGGGTACTAGGGGGAATGGGGCTTCTGTTTGCAGGCCGCCCTTCCAAGGACCCTCC